AAAAAAATAAATAAATAAATAAAATAGACAAAAGTATGTTGAATTCTTTCTTTTTATGTTTATTAATGATCGCGTCATAGGCAAGTGCCGTACTGACATGTAAATAAATTTTCCACATATAATTTTTTAAAGTTGTAAACAATCCAATAGAACTCTTTGGCTTGTGTGTTTTGTTTGCCCCTCTCAGGTCATGTGATAATACTCGGAAGAACTGTTTCTCTCAAACTTCCTTTTATTCATGTGCATATGTACGCGTAATTTAAAAAAGATAAAGCTGGGAATTTCCTTAAGACCTGAAATGGGTGAATAAGCAAAACTGAAACTTAAGATGTCTGTTGCATACGGTTCAACTTTAATGAATGTATACATTCCTAAATACATGCACACATACATACCATACATAGATGCATGCATGCATGCAGGTTTGCATGCATATATACATACATACATACATGCATGCGTACATAGGTTACATTCATACATACATACATACATACATACATACATACATACATAAGCTAGTTTTTATTCGCTGTTGCACGGAGGAAATCGTTTGGAAATAACTTCATCTTTCAGCTTTTTCTCTTCATTTCGACTAGAATATTAAAAGAAACAATAACAGCTGCTTGATATTAAGTTTCCAAAACTGACGGTTCCCCTTATACTTCTATTACTCTATCATTTCCTCTCTATTTGTCCATTTACCGCGCTCTAAAAATTCACCCGTACTCCTCAGGGTCTCAATGGGCTGATGGCTTCTGAGGCTAAGGGTTAAAATTTGTCATTTGTTACGCCTAAGCTGTTTGTGGGCCGGTACAGCTGTTTTCAAAATGGCGGCGTCCACGGTCAAATTTATGATAACACACAAGCAATCTTGTTGTTACAATTATGCAATTTATTACTTATTTTTTCATCACTCAGAAAATTACATTTCATGTTGAATCATTTTGCATTGATTAAATATCCTCTTTCATCTTGTCAATGACTTAACTAGAAAATTATTCTGATCACACACTATCTCTCGATCAACTGATCCGACTGATTAAATCTAGTACTTTCTTGACCAAAAACAGACACAGGCAGTGCTCTTTTCACTGATTAATCGTTCAAGTGGGGAATATTTTGAATGCACACAAGTAGAATTAGCTATTTGCCAATGAAGCGTTCGTTGAAGTAGAGATTATGCCTCAAATTTAATCCGTTCTTACGGTGAAAAGACAACCTCAGTTTCAGTAACAGGCAAAACAAATTACGTTAATCAACTCTTGCGGTCAGATGAAGAACCAGTGACCTTTCACCAATCCACCATAGTCTCTCCCAGCACTCGTCTTATGGTATATTCCAGGTGGTCTAGAACGGGATTTCCTCGGTGAATTTTTTGGTTCTGCAGATCAAATATTCTTTTCTCATTCAAGCCATCTGGGATCCAATCATTCTCGGCTCTTTCCGAGAAGAAAACCGTGACCAATTTGTTCACAAGTTCTTTGTTTCTTGTGAACTCGTCATGTATAACTTTGCCATCAAAGGTTATGCAATCATCTTCAATTTCTTGCTTCTTGTCTTTAATGAGAGACGAAGCAAGGGGTGAAGCGACTAACACGACACAGTCACTACTGCGAAGTTCCCAGCCGAAATCCTGTTCATCCGCTAGAATAGCGGCGACGTTTCTCACTATAGCCGTGTTGCGCAATTTACCTCCTAAACAATCTTTCAGTTTCTGAGCTTTGGCCCTATCGCTTTCTGTGCACAGATACAGGACGCGTTTCATTTTCGAAGCAAACATTACTGCGGGATATCACCAAACTAAAAGAATAAAAAACTTTCTGTACTGTCGATAGTGGCGGTGGACAGAATTGGGAAGCTGTCATATATACTGGTGGAAAATGTGTGAAAAGTGTGCGTTTGTGAAATATTTAGCCATCTCTTATTGGCAGGTATCGTGAAATGCTACAACTAGAGGGGGTGTTTCATCTCACACTTGAAACCCTGAAATCGGATAATGCGAATACCTAAACTTTATCAAGGCGCTTGTGGAATCTCTATTAAACACGTAGTGTTGAAACCAATTCATCTGCAAACACCTTTAAAATGTGTAATGTCGAGGATAGTTTTAAGGGGCGACTAACATGGTTTGTTTAAATCAGATAAAAGTCTCCAACATTCTTTAATACTTCTCAAGATCGAGTATTTGCATGTCTTTACTATCTTTCTTTTGATTTGACTCACACGTTTGCCTTTAAGAGAAAAAAAAAAGGTTCCTGTAATTTGATCACTTTTCCCAGACGAATATTCTAAATTGTTTCTTCAGGTCAGTAATATTTGAGATTATGACCTTGCATGTAAGTCTGATTTAGGGTCAATTCGCCACCGCAAAAAACTCGCTACCGCAAAAAACTCGCCACCGCAAAAAACTCGCCACCGCAAAAAAACTCGCCACCACTGAGAGTCAAATCACCACCGGAGGATTTGACTTTTTCGTTATGTGTAACCCGTCGTTTGAACTTACTTAAACTTACATCAAATGAAAGCTAAGATGTGGTAGCATATTGCGAAAACGGAAAGGGACTCAGAAGTTATTTGTAGCCACTCAATTGTGAAACGTTTACGGTTGAATGAAATGACACTTGTTAATATCACGAGGATAATGGGGAGTTCGCGCAAAGCGAAACCAGAGTGATTTTTGCCTAGTGATCTTGGCCGATGTTCATAGTCGTATGAAAATCACATTAAATAAAGGCTTAAAAAGCAGTGATGTTTAGAAATCATATATACACACTAAAAGATTTGTCCTTGTTGATTAATTCTTCAAATGTTCTCAGAATTCTCAGTGACTAATCTAATTCCAATAGTGTTTGAAAGCAACTGAGATCAATGTTTTAGCTTCTGTTTGCGGAGGATTTTTGTTGCGACAGTGGAGCATTCATGTGATCCCCCATAAAGAATACAGTGTCTCTTCTCTCCTGGTCACCACAAAAAGCCTGAGTTATTATCTGCTTCCTACAGATTGGTTAGCATTCATCGACAGCAAGTGAGAGGTCCTTTATAGAGAAAACCAAACTCCAAAACCCTTTGCAAATGAGGAGTTGGTATATTTTCAGGAGGCTCAAGAGCGAGTAAAGTGCTCCACTTAGAAAAATTGCCTCCATTAAGAAAAATTGACTGTTAGAAAAAGGTGTTGTTCATACAAACAGTGCTTGTAACATGCATGTTAAAAATAACCAGTTTAAACGATAAAAAGCACTGAAGAATCCAGCTGGGAAGCAAAACTAAAACAAATTATGACTACCGGAGAACAAGCAATAACAAATACAATTATGAAAACCGTTTCTGGAAATAAATGATGACCTCTCCCTTAGAGTCAAAGAAGTTTTGCCGATCCACTTGTTTAAAATGGCTAAACCAAAATTAGAACCGCCGGGGAGTCAAAAAAAAAAAAAAAAAAAGAAAAGAAAAACAAGCAAAAAAAGCAAATTGGTGTCAGCGCGCCGTGGGGAACTCTAGGAGTGGATGACGTGCTAACATCAGTTTTTCAATTTAGCGAGGGACTTCACCGAAAAGGATGGACTGGTTTCAGTCTACTCCTAAATCTGTTTTATTAATTTTTTTGAGATATATATATTTTTTGACCATCTATATCATTTCTGGATCTTTTAGAGTAAAATGGATGATATTTCTTTTGATGAAAGCTGACAAGATATAGAAGCCACTCTATGGTTTCGGTTAGTGGGAGAAAAATGCCAAAACTTGGAGAGCGAGGAGGACTTCTTGAAGTAAGTATAATACACTTGCGCAATAGAGAATGCGTAGTTATGGAACCCAAAGCTATTATCATTTGCGCATGCCATATTTGATCCTTCAGCTTTCGGATCATCCGCAGGCTATGAGAAACTCCACTCTGTGGCGAGTGTGGGGTTTAAATTTGACATTGCGGTACCTGCTCGTAATGTAAACTGAACGTTCCTCGTGTTACCACGCGTGCTTGAAGTAAATTGGAAACAATTTTTCATGAAGAGCTACGCCTCAGCTGTTGGACGAGTGAAATCCATTAAATATTACACGCACCTAAGCGTATTTCCTATTGGTATCTCAAAGGAGGGCATTCATCAAAACGGGGCATTTATTAGGGACAGGACGCTTATTTCCTTTCTGAGGAAAAGCAGAATGTGCAAAGCAAAGCTTTGATTTTTATTTGAAAAGGTTCCAGAAGACTGGAAAACGGACCTGTAGTCCTTGGATCCTTCCTGTCTTTAATAACCAGCCAAGCAATCGCCGAAAAATTTGAAGACGAGATCATTCGTTTATAGGAACTGTGCACTCAAGACGGAGACCAATTTTTTTGATGAGGCTTGAACTATGTTGGATATCAGTGTACAGGTACTATGCAGTACTAGCAGTGCTATTCACGTCAGGAGCGCTCCAGGCACGTGCATTATAATGAGGGTGCTAATACTCATTAAGGGCGCTTATTATCAAACGCAACTTCGAGAAGGGGTGCTTATCGGAAGGAGGGCGCTAAATCGAATCATCTCGGCATAAAATTTTGCTCTCATCCTTGCCAGATACGCTTATAATTATTTTCTACAATACATTTGGACGAATACAAGAGCATAAACTGCAAAATTAAATATAGATTCCATAGCGGCACACTCAGTACTCGTGGTTACGGTCCAAACTTAACATGATCACAAGCTGAAACAAGCATTGTGTGAGTGGGTGGTCAGGAGCGCTTAAAAACGGATTTAGCCAATTGAAGAGAAAGGTTACTCACAGGGACTGTTTATTCCAGGGGACGAATAATATTATTTGGGCGTTTTCATTAATTGGGCTAAGTTAGGGCCCAGTCGCTTATCTTCACTCAGCGCCGAAAAGTCTTCGTACCCATGCCACTCGCATTTTGTATCCAACGTAAGCATGTAGCTTTGAGGCTGGTTTGTTTGCAGTCTCGAACCTGCCGAAATAAGTTGAACATTTCATCGAGAGAAAATGATATTTTCGCACAAATGATACTGTTGGTAGTAAATGATAAAGAAATGAAAAAGGAAGCAGATGAACTGTTTCATCCTACCGAAAACAACAGGCTTAACAACGACGAAGAAACTCAAACTAGAGCGGGAGTTAGTCATCATCAAGAAGATATTATGGAAGAGGAATTCGACGGGGATTTCTGGTTTAAGGTAATGAAAACAGCACTTTATGCATTTCTACGAGCAGTTTTATTAGAATTCTATATAGATTAGAAAATACTTAATGTTGATGTGCCGCGTCAGCTATCCTTGACTGAACGTGTTATTGTTGTTGGCCGGGTACACGTGGAAAGTGTGACTTGATACTTGAAGGACTTGAAAATTCCCATTTACTGGAACGGTGGAACTATAGGCACCTAAGGCTCAGTTGAAGCTGTATGCATCAGTTAACAAGGAAAAAAAACTTAGCCTACATTGAGATAGTTTACAAACTCGTATAAACAAAAATCTTTTTCAGGTCAATCAAAAGCAGAATAAAGGAATTTCATGGAACCGAGCAATGGATGAAGTAATCGCTGAAAATCTGATTCAGAAGTTCAAAGAAAATGGGGAATTGGACTCTGAAGATCCAGCACTTCTGATGTTAAAAAGATGGCCATTATCTAAGCAATACCAAGAGAATCCTGAGAAACTTCCAGGGCTTGAAAAGCTGGTATGTAATTTAAATGTGGAACATCTGTCAGAGTTATAATCACTATATATTTCCTCTGCAAAAAAATAAATTAAGCAAATAAGAAATGGTAAGTGAAAAATAATATTGAAAAGCAGAGACTTATTTAGATTGGAGGAACAATAATGGTTCACAATACCAGGAACTTAAGATATTCTGAATGGAAGAAAAAAATGTTATTGAGATGATAATGCATCAGAATGTGTGTTTCATTCACTTTTCAGTCAGTGTGTTCTATGAGTGTGCTGTGTAGGAAGACATAAATCATACATTGTCAGAAGTTGCCAATTTTTTAGCTGCAAGGACCTTGTATTCCTCTTTTATGAGGTTTTCAGCTATTTTTATAAGAACAATGTGAAGGTTTTCTTTGATTCTCCAGAACACTTTTTACTCAATGGTTCCAGCTGGGCTGAAAAATTAAACACATTTCTTTAACCCCTGACTGAGGTGCTGAATGAGGCTTTTGGATGGGACACAACTTTAAGTTAACCTTCTCTGTCAGCTATGCTGAGATGGCAATTTAAAAAAGGAAAGGAAGGCAATCAGTGACACTGCTTGGACCAAGCTGCAAAAGACTGAACTCTTGAATAATAGCCTGTGCTGGTCAATAACTTTTTGGAATATTTTTTCTGAGACATCAATTCTTTTTTAATCCTGTTAATGATATTAATGATATGCATATTGACATCAAGATCTTTGCACAGGTAAATCGATTGTTGGAAATTCTGTTAGAAAGTGAACTGAACTCAGATAACAGATATGAGATGTTCAGAGATGAGGATGATAAAGCAGGGAGGACATTGCTACACTATGCTGCAGAAGTTGGATTTTTGCATGTCACCAAAACACTGGTGAAGAAATTTCCATGGCTTTCAACTGTGGAGACAATATCAGCGAAGAAAAAGCGAGCGCTGTTACCAGTGGACATGGCATTAATAACAGAGAATGATGAAGTGGCAGCATATTTGATAAGAGTTATGTGGCCTGACAGGTAAAGTGAGAAAGAAGTTACTCCTTAATTAAGTCAAGGAAAAGAATTGCTTTGAAACACTTGGTGTTGATTGCTCTCAGTTATAATAATGACCTTTGTAGCTCACTTGCTGCTCTGCACAGACTTCTGGCCCACCCTTGTCTCAAATTTCATCAATTGCTGATATTTACCAAGGCATATTAATGAACTTCCATATGGGTTTTTCACAAGCCATTCTCAATAGAATCAAGAACATCAGAAGGAAATGAAACTCTATATCTCTGTAAGGGCAAATTCATACCCTTAACATACCAGTTTTTGTTGCATAAAGTGACTTAAGCATTAATTTTCCTTTCCCAGGATGGGATACTAGTCCATTGCAGGTTACTTCCTCCATTAATATACACTTAATGTATGGTCCTGAGGGAAACAGTTAGTTTTGTCTTCCTGAGAGTTCTGATGTTTCCTGAGACAAAGTCAAGAGAAACATTTGGACTTGAGGGAAATCAAAACTATCGGTAACTAGTTTCCTGAGGAACCATATATTAAGTGCTTTGTTATATATTTAAACTTTCCTTTAAACAATCATATGGCAAAAACATGCTGTTGTATTTGGCGTGCGGACAACAACTATGCAATTGTATCCTAGTCGGGATTTGATCAGGGGTACACGACTAAGAATCAAAAAATCACAGTGCTTGTTTTGTTGAGTGAAAGTCTAGGTATATAACAACTTATTATGTTTCCCTAATAGTTTTCTATTACCATTTTATTTATACTCTTGAGAAGAGAGAGGCACCCTGAGAGCAATGTGTGTTTTTCAAGATCACAATTCAATGACCTACATCGTAGCCCTGGGCTTAAAACTGTGCTTCTTGATCCAGGGTGTTAATCAATCAGCCGCCCCATATCTCACATTGTATGTTTCATGAAGAGGCAGGAAGGTGTCACATATGACCTTTTCAAGCTTACTCACTAGCAGCTCAGCTCTCAGTGTATATACATGTAGAACTTAGATACAGCTTGCTTTTAATTTTGATTTCCTCCTTTTAATTAGAGCCTTGAGCTTCTTTTCATGGAACCCAGGTAATATGGCAAACCCTCAGCCATCCTATGTCAGTTTCAAATCCATTATTGAGAATCCAAAGATGAAGGTGAGGAATTTTTATTTACGTAACTAATTAATGAAAATGGTGTTCCAATGCCTTCAGCAAACATTTTCAGAGATGTTGGGTTAACCAAAAGCTTCTAGGAAACAATATAAGTGCACTCAATTGTTAGTCTGAGTTTGTATGACATTGGTAAAAATTAGAAAGTTAAGGGCCATTATTTATTTTTAACTATCTATGGTCCCTAAAATAATTTTTATAAAGTGATCAAGCTTCAAAACTGATCATTCAAAGAACTATAAATTATTGTGATACAAAAACTTACAACTGTGTCAGGTAACCTTTAATTAGCATGAAACAGGCAAGCTGAGAGTGAAATAGAAATTTCTCAGGCTATAAAAAGAAAGGTTAGCACATCTTAGATGTGTATAGGGAATATGACCCATATGCTTGCAAAAAAATTTCAGGATCTTAAAGAGACGGTACTTGTTGATTCATTTTTTTACTTATTTAAACTTGTCTGTGCATATTTGTGAGGTCTAAATGAATACATACTAACGATGCACCTTTTTAATGGAATCCATTAGGACTTATTCATTTGTTGTCTTTGTAGAAAACAGTGGTGGCTGTGTTAGATCAGATGGTGATCCCACACTGGCCACACCTTCCAAAACGTAAAGAAAGGTACGAGAGTGAAGAAGAGAAAGAGGCAATTGAGGGGGCCTGGAGTACAATGACTGAAAATCCTTTGAATTATCAGTTCTGTTATTACATACTGGATGCTGACGAGGGAGGACGACCTCCAAAGATCAATAACTCGGCAGGGGAACAACAAGCAGATAATGAATATTTTAACTGGAGAGACAAGTCTTGTTTACATGTGATTGCAAAAAGCCATAACTCGGTAAGGTTGACGTAATAATGAAAGCAAAATGAAAATCAGGGTTTTGTTTATCATCGAAGTTAGCTTGAAAAGTTGGCATTATTGTAGGCGCTTCAACACTAGCGTTTCATTCTCCGTGGGAGGATAATGCCCTAAGCAACGCAAGTTAGCGAGGGGACTGGGAAAAGTTTTCAGAGATGTCTACCGACTATATTCAAAGCGGACAATAACCAACTTTCCTACCTTACAGCGAACGTATTTTGAACTTGCGTTCACCAAATGTTTGAAGTGTGTAGTAGTGGGCGTTGCATGGCAATCACCATTGATGTGATTATGTAATGGGGATATCCTGCAAACAGTCTCGTAAAACGTTCGACAGATTTTTCTCTCAAATTCTGGATTTACATTATTTTGGATTACGTCATCGCTGTTGAGTGAATTGCAACTAATTAAATCTAGTCGTTTAAAAATTATGACGCTTGTAAATGTACGTTTCATTTTCCAGCTTATACCAGAAACTTTTTATAGGAAGAGCTCTGAATCAAGTTCTACTGAATATATCACAATAGTGATTGACCTAAAAAATTTTCAGTGTGTTCTGAGCCATTGTGCTAACTTTTGAACCAGTTTCTGGTATCGGCGAGGAGCCGCAGCCTGGCGATTTAAAAGTTATTTTTATCACAAAATCTCGTTCGTTGATTTATAATTAAAGTTAAATCTGTTTCTTCTTGTAATTTTTCTTTTGTTCTCTACTGTCTGCAACATTTATGCAACAATGTATATTAACTTTGTTTGACATTGAGACATGCGAGTCTCGTGAAGACGCCAAGAAATGGTACCCCATTGCCTACATCGGTTGTCTGTTTGACTGAAGTTACTAACGAAGCCATCGACCTCAACTTGAATAACACGTCTGACAATTGGACGAATAGTAACGCTGATGTGTGTTCTTATTCAAGTTAATGGAAACGGCCTTGTTGAGGTTCTGGTTGAACATAAGGAAAAAAATTGCTGTCAACTTCATAACTAATATTTCACGGCCTCCTCACCAAACTTACATCGTCTAAATTTAAGAAAAAAAACTTAGCTCAGTTGTTGCATTTATGTCGCATTTCATGTTTTTAATCAAGGACTCTTTGTTCCTTTTGACTGTCGCATGCTTCAAAATTGACTCATATATTTAAAAAGTGCAGCGCTCAAACATGAGAGCAATTAAAGAAAGTTGAGTGGAAACGGGATCGCCTGTTGAGGCTGTGTGTTGCGAAAAGGTCTTTAGGGAGTTTACGCCAAGCGGAGATTAAGTTTGTATAAATTAATCTTTATTGAAAGAAAACGTTTCTGGCCGAAGTTGATCAGGCCACCAAGGTTTCTTAATAGCCTTAAGGAGACTTCCCCCAACCCCTTCCTCCACTTCTAATTCATGTACCTCATCTTAAGCCATTTCAATCTACCATTATTGAGCCTGCCTTACGAATAACAGCTGGTATAATAGGACAGTATTATCTCGCGCATTTACATTTTCATCGCACAGATTCTTGCTTCATTTTTACTTTCAGGAGGCCCTGCAGCATCCAGTGATCAGAATGTTGATCAAAACAAAATGGAAAAGCTACGGACTAAAGTTTCTCAGGTGAAATGTTTTGTAGTTGTTCAGGGTTGATTTGTATCAACGTCAGAAACAATGTACCGAAATGTAATTCCGCTGCATTAATTGCTACAGGTGCACAAAAGGACTGAATAGGAAATATAGAATAGGTGCAATAATCCTTCCTTTTTTGAAATACACAAATTTATCACACTACTAAAAGCCTTATCAATCATTGTTTTCGTAATTGCTTGGAATACTGGTCAAAAATTATCAAAAGTCAGTTCCAATGATGAAGCGTAGTTTGCACAGTGTATGTATGGTTAAGGAGTGCAAGTTGCTATCGATTCAGTTTTCCTCTTTTTTTTGTTACCCTTTGAAAAAAAATGGATCCGCATTTCAAGTTGTGTTACTCTACATAAGAAAGAAAACCTCAGGTTTTGGTTCAAATGAATCTCCTCGATTGATAAGTCAACCTTTCAACTCCAATGAGTGACCAAGAGAGAATTCTTCTCAATACAGTATCAAGCTTTCAAGCCTGAATGAAGAAAAACATCAGTTAGAGGGTTATTAATAGATCCAAAACCAGATTCTCAGGAATTGTATTGCAGAGAGTAAGAGATCTTGGGAGTAAAAGGACTAAACAGTGATTTATGAAAGAGCAGAGAAACGCAACCATATACGTAAATACAGGGCACTATTTATTTTCAATAGCCTTCAAGCAGGATTGTATGTCTTCTTCTTGCTGTTCTTGTCATATTCTCTGCTGTATGGTTCAACCAAACCAGACCCCACCCAGTACAGGGGTGGGGCAGATTTACTTCGTGGGCTTTGTGAGGTGGTCACTCTCGCTATGGTTTTGTTTTATATCTGTGAAGAAATCAATCAAATGAGAATGTAAGTAAAAGGGCTTACTGAATATCAAACTACTGCATAGACGCAACATTAGAACACCCCTCAATAGTGTCATTGACGATGAAGAAAGTAAAAATGTCTGCGTTTCTAGGAGCGAACGTTTTACCAACTGATAGACTCTATGTAACTCACTTGCTTTTTTTTTTAATACATGCAGAACATCGTTGGAAGTTTTCCCTTAACCGATACGTATTTATTTTGACTCTTATTTGCATCTTACGAAAATAACTAATTTATTTTTGAAAAAATAGTCCACCCATATGGAATAAAAACGATATCTTGCTCAGAATTATGAAGCACAAGGAGTCAATAGGAGCTCAGACTAGTCGCAATATAACTGTGAAATTATTCTTGCAGTGAGAGATATTCATATTTCACCGAGTGGATGACCTTGTTTGACTGGTTAGGCCTGCTGTTGATCCTGTGTATGATACCCTTGCGGTACACTAAAAGTAAAGCACAATGGCTGGTGGCATCTTTAGCTTTCCTGTTCAACTTCCTGAGATTATTTAAGTTTTCTTGCGTGACAAGGTAATAAGTTTACCATTCAAACTCAATGGGCCGGTTAATTAGACATAGTTTAGCCGTTGTTTCACAAAACCACGTTCTAAACTGTTTTCAGGTTCGCGGAATCTTTTATCTGAATATTTTCTTTTTGTGACTGGAAATTTATTTGATTAAATCCACCCTCTTACAGAGAAAGCCTGAGGCCCACTGCTTGCCTAAAACCGCGGATTGAGTGAGACCCCGTGTAATTAACCGACCCTAGAACTCTAGCTTAACCGGAAATTTATAACAGTTAACTAAAGACGTTATCCATTGTGGAGTTTAGACTGTACCCTTAATGTTCCCAGTTTGCTTTACGGCATGTATTCTGTCTCGCTTTGAATCATCTATTTGAGCTTTGGGTGCGTCTTGGCTTTCGAAACTTTAAAGGAATATTCTACGTGAAGAACTATTGTTTAGAAATCTCTGTGTATAGTGCTTTCAGCTTTTTTTCATGAACGGAAACCAGCAAATTAGATCTGACGAAATATCGGAAAAAGAATCCAAGGGACTTGCTCGAATTTTTGATGCAAATTTAGAACGCCTTGGTGGCTAAGGCGCGTTTTCCTCCACCAGGCTTTTCGTTCCTGATCACTGGTTACATTTATTAACTGACCAATATTGACCATAGATGGTGACAAATTGAAATGCGGGGACGTAGTTTTACATGCAATTGTCCGTGCTTACTTAAAGTCTTTGTGTTAAATCAGCGCGAAAATGTGCTCGAAGCGCACGTCCCATGAACTCTATTTTTAGTAACGAGAGCAGCTGTTGATTTTGATTTTTTGTGGACGATCGCATCGTTACGCGAATGGCAGTACTTAAAAAAAAATTGGTCCGCACTGCGTAGGTGTATTTGGTGCAAAATGAAATAAATGTATTATTAGATAATTACGTGCTGCACTTTCAGTCTTCTTGGAAGGGGAACTGAATAGATTTTAATTGATGGGTGGGTGCACCAAAGTATTTTTTCGAGGAAGTTATTTGATGGTCTATTTGACAATGGAACTACGAGTTCCGAATTTTCCTAAATATTTGATGGAAAGGAGAGTTTCTTAACTTATCATTATGACTATGGAAGAACAAGCGATAGCAAATACAAATATGAAATCAGTTTTTGGAAATTGTGGTTCGAAGTAAACGCACAGAATTCAACAAGAGGATTTCCGTAAAATATTTTATTTTGTAAATCGAAGAAAGACTCAATTTGAGTACATTTCGCGACTACATTGTGATCATATATTTTTCAAATTAAATTGGTCCCTAACATCCATCTGTTTGTCCGAGGAGTTTCGCTCACCAAATAAGATTCCCAACTCAATACGACAGGTTTTACGACAAAATATCGACGTGGCTACGCCACGTCACTGGTTACGCGTTCTTGTCATATTTGTGTTAAGCGATGATCGCTTACTCCATGTAGCTTGTCACGTACAGTAAACTTCACAAAAATCATAACAATATTACGTTATTTCTTGTCTTGTATGAAGCACTTACGCAATCTCTTGCTGCTCTTGCAAGGTTTTTTAGTTGCTACGCTCTTGACACAAAAAATAAAAAAGTTATTGTAGGTAAGATGAATTTATCCGATCTAACCATTCAGTGTGAGACAAAGTCTTTTATCTTTTCCAGGACAACAGGATTATACACCAAAACCTTGGCTAAGATCATTCAGGAGGACTTGACGCGGTTCATTGCAGTTTTTATTGTGATCTTTCTTCCTTTTGGGTTTTCCTTGTCTTTGTCACTCCGCCAGGGTTCTTATAATCACCATGAATTTAGGTAATCGACTGACTCTACTTTTTGGAATAAAGGAGCCTCAATATTTGTAGTTTTGTTGTACAATCTTTTATTTGATCGATCAATCTACAATGTCATGATAATTGACTACAACTTGTTCAACAATAATATTACATAATCAATGGCATTTTTAGGGAAGCAAACGGAAAGTTAAGTAGCTGTTGAGCCATTTACGAGTATTTGCTTAAAATTAACGAAACTGTTCAGAACCAGAACCGTATGAAAAGTGATACACGGATTTGTCACAAGCGAGAAACAAAGGGAAAATTTCATTTTTTTTCCCACGAATCCTGACTTCCGATTTCGAAGTCAGATGTTCTAATGAACATGTAGGTATTTCTAGGTTGCACACACTCATGGTGATTATTTCTGCCAGTCTTAATTGCTAAAGGTATTTTTTCTGTCCTTTTACATTTAGGGGCTTAGGTGATGTTTTGTTGGGCGGTTTTCGAGCGTTGTCCGAACAACGACCAATTGCAGAAGACTACTCAAGCTTTGAGTAAGTTTACTTTATTTTTCAGTCAGAGGGCACGATAACGAATCCTGCAATCTGATTGGTTCTTAGTGCGGTCCGGATTTTTCTATCTCTGCCCACGGGCACGAAATGCTTTCGTGAGTCGTTTAGCCGGCTGGGGATATTTTCAAGCAAAGTATTTTAAAGCAAATCGAGCCGATAAATGACTCATTAACCCCTCGCTCTTTTCTCTCTGAAATCACTTTGGTTGCCAGCCAAAAATTGTTTAAGAAATGAATTTGTGATCGCAAATGTATTGTCAAATCGGTTGACACGCGGCCTAAAAATGGTTTGTAGTTAACTTTAATCCTTCACTAAAAAATAACTTAGAAAGTTAAAATTTTGAGGTGTGTGTTTTCAATTGAACTAGTCAATGGAATATTCATTCATTTAATATCTGAAATCTCTCAAACATTTTTTCGCTGTAAAACGGCGAGCGAAGTTTTCAGTCCTACTACAAATACGCTTTCAGTAAGTCCTTGCAAGTCTATTTAAAGTTGGTAATTTGTACTGTAAATTATTCTTCAGCGTTACACTTCATTCTCAGCGTTACGCTGTGACACATTTGGCTTTTGTCTGCTCTGAACGTCTCCAACTTTTGCGGCTATTTTTTCTCGTAGTTTGCTCTCAATACTGTTAATGCTGGCCTACATGGGGACTGTGATTGTGATTCTTCTCAACATACTCATTGCGCAGATGAGCACGACCTACACACAGGCCAAGAAAGTCGCCCGTCTGGAATATGACGTGGATCGTATTTTGCAGCTTACTCGCATGGAGAGATTTCCTTTTTCGGTATGTTACTGGTAAAGAATGGCGAGATCCCGTCATTTTAGCAATGGCCTCAGAATGTATCTTTAGTCATTGCGTATCAGCCTAAATGTTAATGCTGTTAGGTCGTGTGCCAGTTCTTACTGTGTACATCTCTCCTGTTAAATTGTTTGCTGAAAGGTTTTTTCTTGAATTTGATCGCATTTTCTAGAATTTGCGCGGAAAGTATTACAAGGAAAGAGAATGGATCAGTGAAAAGAAACTTGCGGAAGGTTTGTAGTTCATGGAGGCTGTTTAAAGGCTCCTACGTAGTATACACTGTAGGTCTTCAACTCCTTTCGTTTCACCAGATGTTGCAAATACTTAATGTGGAGCCATGAAAAAACTGGCCGTGTGAAGTAGCTATTTATGCCAGCTTAGGAAAGAGAGCTTAGCCGAGAAAGAAAAAAAAACTAGGGTCTTTAGGAGGTGCACCTCATACTTCTTCGATGGATGCAATCTAACTGCTTTTAACTTTTCTATTTTCCCAGAGCTTCTAGAATTTAGTGAAGATCGCAATCCTTGGGAATCAGTGGAAGGAAAGCTTAATGCGATAAGGTGAGAATCACTCGTTCATCACGTTTCACCCAAACACCAACCATGTATATGTGCAGCCAATCGACCATTTTGGCGCCCATAACGTTCAATTAAATGTATCAATCAATTTCTTTCCGTAGGGATATGATGCGAACAATGGTAAAACAGATGAGGCCTGGGAGAGAATGAACAGCTGCTTGTTACAATGGTAACAGTGGGACTCAGTCTGTTTTAGTTCAACTTGTTTTTCCTATGAGCTTGTTTTTTTACTCCTTAAATGCGAAAATCTCAAGCATTTTCTTCCCAATAGCTTGGATATGAAAGTAAATGTTGCGTTAACGGGAGCAATCAGAACAGCAGTAACAAAAACAACAGAGAAAATACCAAACAAACACTGAGCAGTGGAGTGACGCAAACTCAATCGGAATTACTCCACAATCAGGTGTAGAACGTTTCTTTAGACAACCAGTTCGTTAACATTGGCTTATAAATTCATTTATGTTCTCATTGATCTATTCTGTTCTCAAGTATTTACAAATTTGTAAAGAGAAATATTAAGTATAGCTCGATGCATAAACAGACATGTCAGCTTTTCAAATTCATTTAATGGCCTGGGTTATGTGGCTGCTCCAGCCTCTTGGAGGTTTAGAAATATATTTGTGTGTGTTGCACCTCTTATGAAATTTTATATCGCGATTATTCTGCCTGTAATAAGCCCTTTTTTTATTCTTCTGCAGGTTTTCCGTGTTTGAATTAAGAAATAATTGGTCCTAACAACACCTGCCTAGTAAAGATTAGTTCAAACTTCTCAATTAAAATTATTAGAATGAAGTTGATATTTTCAAAAGCGCTTAATCTCAAGTGCGTGAATGTACTATCAGTTGAGTCAAAAAAATTGTCAATTTTCCCTTAAGTATATCTTCATCACTTAGGGAAAGGAAACACTTTTTCAACAGAAAGCAATTTCAACGACATTTATTCTGACTCAATAGGCTGAATTGTCTGGTAGTTCTAAAGCTCTGAAACGCCATCAGTCAGAACGGAAGCATTTTCAAAATGTAGAATCAAGGCTATAGGATTCTTGTCAGAAAACCTACGCGATTTTTAATCCTTTTAAGGTGCTTTATTAACAATAGAGTGTAATGTAGTAAAGGCATTTTCTTGACGGCCAACTAAATAGCAGGCACTGATTGGTGTAGACAACAACCAGCAGTTTACCTTTAAGTAAAGCAATAATTTTCGCAGGTGATATATATTTTAGGCAATTTCAGAAAAACTATTTATTTCATTAAAAGTCATGTTTAATTTTACTTTGAAGAAATAAATATAAGTGCGAATTGGTTATAGTAGAAAGCATAAGACATCGGTGATTTCTCATATTTTGAGCGCATTATAGGGAAAACTCCAATTGTTACAACGATTCCAATGGAGAAATCAGTAATGTTGTCTTCACTCACCATACAGTGATAGCCAGTGCAAAAGCGTTTAAAGTCTCTATTGTCCCTATCCGATGATATACTGTTTCACTCTCTACTAACAGTAATTTCTTTCCCGAGCTTTATAAGGATCAATTGACTCTAACCCGAACAGAAATTCACCCTACGAACAACATAGTGCTTGTCTGATTGTCTGCTTTACTGCTTGTCTTACTTCGCTAATCTTCCAGCAGTAAAGGAACGGGTTCAAGGTTGAGTTAAAGGAGACTAAAATCAGCGTTAGTGTCCCACTGACAGCTAAATGTGTTTGAGATATTTTACTGAAAGCGATCAAAATTACCACAATGCAATAAGGTAGATAACAGATAAATAAAGCTAACTGCACCCACAGAGCATTGTACACTGCTTTTCTGTATCGTGCGATGTTCAATGCATTTGGTTGGCTCGGATGTTGCTGAGCATGATCTTGTATTTGAGTTTGATGACGACTAAGAGCTCTAAAAATCTTTGTGTAAGATGCGGATGATATCATCAAGCAAAACGCTGTAACTACAAAGCCGTACCAACATGTTATGTGGTAAATTAAGCTTTGGCATAAAGCAAAGACGCCGGATGCAATCCAAAAGAAAACTGAAATGACATGGATGCGCTTTACAGTTACAATTTGTCTGTATCTAAACCCCAACAACAGGGCGAGAAGTCTGTCCGCGCTTATGGCCGTCATCGTCAACAAAGATACTGAAAATAACGCATAGCCTGCTATGAAAATTGCGTGGTTTGTCCATCGACAACGACCCCAGTCTTCGTGAATAAAGGACATCCAATGGATGACAGCCAAAGGATGAACGATAAGGCCGACTAACAGATCTGTTGTTGCAAGGCAACGATAAAGGACTTTGGACGGCGGATGAAGGGAGGATTCCTTGGAAAGGGCAACAAGGATGAGAGAATTGCCAAGAATTGCTGTTAGGGAAAGCAGAATGTGGATTGACGAGAGAGAATATGCATACGGTTGTATTGCACTTGCGAGAGACCGGGAACATTCCATGGTTTTGGTTTGTGCTCCGTCTTCTGTTAAATTCTGAGTTCTCGCCGCTAATTTGAAGCAGTCCTATCCTTTTCCAAACAGATCATCCACTATAGTAACGAAAAATTTCTTAACTTAACAACACTCGCCCTGCCGTTGAAACTTACTTCCGCTGTGCATATCAGCATAACCACCTTTACGATAGCGTTCACGAACTAAAAACAGCTAAAGAACCGCCTGTTGTGTCACAATCAACTTTATTTAATACTTCCGTTGCATTTATTATCACCTAAGATAAGGGGAAACACCTTTTAACAATAAGCAATTGTTACAACATTTTCACTAAATTCATGACTTAAAAGATTGTAGAATAGTTCCAATACATTTCATTTAAACCCACCCAAAGCCATTAAGACTGACACGTAATTTAAATGGCTAAAGGGTGCGTTATTGAACATCGAATTACTAAATCTCTAGAATCTTCGCCGGAGCATTTTCTTTCCATTTTATTTTTGGAAATGATTTGTGCCAATGACGGCCTACTTACAAGAGAACAACAACGTAGACCATGGCCAGCTATCAATCTTGGTCGGTGTAATTTGACTTGAGTGCGAATTAGAGTTAGGAGTTAATTTACAACTCAAACATAAAGACATCAGTGGTTTTATTCTTTGACATAAGGAAGCGAAACTCTGTTTACTCTCATTTTGAGTAATGAAAAGGTTCTTTTGTTTTTAATGCCCTTTCATCTTATGTTAGGTGACTCGCTGTAAACAGTTTACTCACAAGTCGGGAATTGTGAATTTCAAAATGTGTTCCTCTTTGTAAAGTTGCTTGAGACGACTAATGAAAAAAATTAAATTAAAATTTTGTGTGTTTTAGATGATGCATGAGTAACATTTTAGTTTCACTGACAAGAAGAGCTCGAATCTGCTAATGCAATCCACGAGTACCAAAAGCAAATTGATAAAAAAGCCGATCAGAGGAAAGGAAAATACCACAAGGAGCCAATGAGGATCCATAGTTAAACTAGCAAACTGTGTCAGGCGCGGGAAACTTCAAGGGACCAAGTCGCGATTTGTTTCAATTTCGATTTTGATTGGTTGAGAGAACGTTGAAGGTTTTCCAGATAAATTACCTAAAGAAGTAAAGCTGAACAAAAGAATTTCTGGATCTCTTTTACGCCTCAATTGTTCGGATCTTTACCCTGAAAGATAGTTTGGGGATATGCGTCTCTTCTCGATTTCTAGCTTGTAAACATGTTTGCCTTGTGGTGCTAACATCTTTTTTATCCAGTATGCTACAATCACATTTTCATGAACGGGAGAGCAAAATGAGTAGATTTTTTCTGAAGGAGGGGTCACAGTTTGAAGGCATCCACTGTGCCCCCCATCTCAAGTTGTCTTTCAAAGGTGATTCAGAGCGAGAAAGCACAAGACGACACAGAGTGAAGCTCTCGGTAAAGACTTTACGATAAGTCATTTTTACAGGCAGCTTTGAAGCCCTTCATTATTTCTATAGCTTGTAGTACTTATCTCGTACTACATATGGTGTTTGATATTCGGAGGTTTCGAGATGTGAGGGGTAAAAAACTTTGGCTAACAGGGAAGCTGTCTGACTCCTCTATGATGCAAAGAATATGCATGGGCCGGGAGAAGGATATCAGGCTAAACTTTTTTAACACATGATTGTGTAAAAAACAAGAAAACAGAAAATGACATATCTATTTCAGAGAGCTTCATTTAGCATATTTATGACTGTTAGAATTAGAAATCTATTCTTGGCTGCATCAGTCCAGAGAGACGCTCTATTCAAAGCACTAATTAGTCAAATTGTGTACCTCAGTTAAGATCCAATATTCCGAGAGCCATACCCTGGTTGGCGGAACTTATATGTTGAGGTCACCTGAGAGTGTGCCTTTGTACCCCCTCTCCCCCCTCCCTCCCGTGCACACGAGGAAACTTCGAAACTCAGGATGGTCAAAACAAAATGCGGGAACTTTTAACTCAGAAGCACGTTTCCACCCTCAGGCTTTTCGTTCCAGTATTCATGAACCAAACAATACTTTGAAAGCCGCATTTTGAATGTTCAGAACCTAGATATGATTGCCTGTCGTAAAAAACTCAAATTTATAACTAGATATAAAATATTTAAGAGGTCTCAGCTGCATGGAAGGCATTGATGAGACTAGTGCGGCTGTCGTATTAAACTTTGAGTGTGCGCTTCGTTACGCAATTTGCAAACTTTGTTTAATAATTAAAAATGTTTAATTCAATAATATATGAATTTCATGTATCTAAAATCATTATTCATCACTTGGATGGTTTATTTGGACCCAACATTCTCTCAGCTCCCGGTTGGCTTTTTAGCTCAGTTGGTAAAACACTGCACCGGTATAGCAGAGGTCATGAGTTCAAATCCTGTGCGGGCCTGAACTTTTTTTTCAGGTCCTATTTTCAACTACTAGTTCAGTCGTGTTCTTAGCTGCGAGGATCTCTTAAACTCGTTTCTTCACCGCAGTGCAAATATATGAATTTCATCTATCTAAAATCATTAAAAATCCAAATGTAATTTAAGTAACATGAATGCATGGGACCTCACTATTTATTATGTAACATTGTTTCTTATCCGACAAAGCCTTTCATGTTTTCTAGGACTACAGGATTATACATAAAAACCTTGGCTAAGATCATTCAGGAGAACTTGACTCGGTTCATCGCAGTTTTTACTGAGATCTTTCTTCCCTCTTTTTGTGCCTTGTTTTTATCATTACGTCAAAGTTCTAATCAATGCCATGAATTTAGGTACGTCTGAATTTCTCAGATCGTTGCACACCTTCCCACTGATTCTCTTAAGAATTATTATGTAACTAACAGATGCTTAGGAGGCTCAAAACAAGTACCTTACTTTTCATTATCATTCGTATGACCGACAGATTCAACCCATTATTATTAAAAATATCATGTACAACTTGTTCAGCGATGATTTCCATCAACTGAGCTGAATAGGATTTGTGGTTAGTACGGGTTACTTAGGTGCTTAAACGCTTATGGTTATTTTTACCGACTTATTTTTACAAACTTTTGACCTATATTAATTTGCTAAAAGCAGTTACTTTTGCTTCCTTTTACATTTAGTGGCGTAGGAGATGTTTTGTTGAGCGGATTTCGAGCGTTGTACGAACAAAGACCAATTGCAGAAGACTACTCAAGCCTCAAGTAAGGTTATGATGGGTACCTCTCTACAGAAGCTATAACAGAATTAAATTCTGCGAAATAGTCGAGCGCCTATTTACGTCATGTTGCGTTGCTGTACGTTGCGCTGCGCAGTGGTTACTGTTTGGCTTTGAATGCAAGGAACTTTTCCAAGTTTCGTTTATTTGTATTTTGTTGAAACTGGCTCTCAATACTGTTAATGCTGGTGTACATGGGGACCGTGATTGTGATTCTCCTCAACATACTCAACGCACGACCTACATTCAGGCAAATAAAATTGCTCGTGTGGATTATGACGTGGATGGTATTTCACAGCTCACTCGATATTGCCAATGATTGACCCGAAGCCCTGAAAAATGGGAAAAAATTGGCAGAGTAAAGGTGAAGGAGGGGTTGGTCTTTTCCATTCAACTGTTTCCAAATAACATTCACTGATAAAAGAAAAAAAAGTTTTCAAATGGTTTCATCCTACAGTTCTCCGATGGATGCAATCTAAATGCTCTGCTTTTTCCCAGAGCTTCTAGAATTTAGCGAAGATCGGAATCCTTGGAAATCAGTGGAAGAAAACCTTAATGCAATAAGGTAATAATCGACCTGCATTTTGGCGCCCATAGTGTTCTGTTAAATATATGAATCAATTTATTTCCGTAGGGATATGATGCGAACGATGGTAAAACAGATGAGGCCTGAAAGAAAATGAACAGCTGCTTGTTACAGTGGCAACAAGGAGACTCTGTCTGTTTTATTTCAACTTATTTTCCCTGTGAACTTGTAAAAATCTCGAGCATTTTCTTCCCAATAGCTTGGATATGAAAGTAAATGGTGCGTTAACAAGAACAATTACAGCAGCAGTAACGAAAACAACAGAGGAAACACCAAACAAACAGTGAGCAGTTGAGTGACGCAAACTCGAACTAATCGGAATTACTCCACAATAAGGTGTAGAGCGTTTCTTATTTTGGCAACCAGTTCGCTAACATTGGCTTCTAAATTCACTCATTTTCTCGTTGATCTACTCATAGAGAAATATTAAGCATAGCTTGATACATTAACAGAAATGTCAGCTTTTAAAATTCATTTATTCGCCTGGGTTATGAGGCTGCTTTAGCCTCATTCAACGAAAAAAACGGGAAACACATTAGTAGTAGAATATGTTTGTGTGTATTACACATATTAAATTTTTATATCGATTATTCTACCTGCAATAAGCCCCTTTTTCATTCATCTGCAGGTTTTCCGTATTTGAATTAAGAAATAATTTGTCCTAACAACACCTGCCTAGTGAAGATTAGTGAAAATTATTTGAATGAACTTGACATTCTCAATAGCGCTGAATCTCACGGCTTTTAACATGCGTGCACGTACTAGTCTAGTAGCAGTTGAGTCAAAAAAGAAGTCAATTTTTTCCCCTAAGTATACCTTGAATTTTTCATCACTTAGGAAAAGGAAACACTTCTTCAATAGAAAGCAATTTTACCGACATCTATTCTGACTCAATACGCTGAAAGGTGCAAAGTAGTTCCAAAGCTCGGAAACGCTTTTAGTCAGAACGAGAGCATTTTAGGATCAAGGTTATAGGCTTCTGGTCAGAAAACTTAAGCGACTTTTATTCCTTTCAAGTTGTTTAATTAACCATAGAGTGCAATGTAGTAGAATAATTTTCTTCGGCGGGTAACTTAGCAGGCACTGAGTGTTTGTGGAGAGCAACCAGCAATTTACTTTTAAGTAAAGCAATAATCCGCGCGGGTGATCTGTATTTTTAGCAATTGTAGAAAAACGACCTATTTCATTAAAAGTTATGAGTTTATTTTCACTTTGTAGAAATTGATTTAGGTGCAAATTAGTTTTAAAAGCCGGTTGATTCACATATAGGACATTCAAATATGGGAAATTGGTGATTTCATATTTTGAACTCATGATAAGGAAAACTCCAATTGTTACGACTCCAATGATATGGTTATATTTATCGAGTTTTCATCACTTGTGAGGAAATCAGCAATGTTGTCTTCACTCACCATACAGTGATACCAGTGCAAAAGCGTTTGAAGTCTTTATTCTCCTTATCCGATGATATACTGGTTCACTCTACTTATATTAAATTCAGTTCCTAGCTTTATAAGGATCAAGTCTGACCGGAACAGAAAATCGCCTTACAAACAACATAGCGCTTGTCTCAGTGTCTGCTTTACTGCTTGTCTTACTTCGCTAATCTTCCAGCAGTAGATGAACGGGTTCAAAGTTGAGTTAAAGGAGACTAAAACACCCATTGCTGTCCCGATGACGTTTAAATGTGTTGCAGATATTTTACCAAAAGTGTACAAAACTATCACAATGCAAGAAGGTAGATAACAGACGAATAAAGCTAACTGCACCCACAGTGTACTGTATACTGCTTTTCTGTAAAGTGCAATGTTCAGTGCATTTGGTTGGCTCGGACTTTGCTGAGCATGATCTTGTATTTGAGTGCGATGATGACTAAGAGCTCTAAAAATCTTTGTGTAAGATGCGGATGAGATCATCATGCAAGACATCACTAAAAAGCCGTACCAAAATATCATGTGGTAATTTAAGCTTTGGCATAAAGCAGCGACACCGGTTGCAATCCAAAAGGTAGTTAAAATGACATGGATGCGCTTTACAGTTACAATTTGTCTGTATCTCAACCCCAACAACAGAGCGAGAAGTCTGTCCACGCTTATGGCCGTCATCGTCAACAAAGATACTAAAGATAACGCATAGCCTGATATGAGAACTGCGTGGTACGTCCATCGACAACGGCCCCAGTCTTCGTAGATATAGGACATAAAATGGATGACAGCCAAAGGATGAAAGACGAGGCCGACTAACAGATCTGTTGTTGCAAGGCAACTATAAAGGACTTTGGACGGCGGATGAAGGGAGGATTCCTTGTGAAGGGCAACAAGGATAAGAGAATTGCCAAGAAATGCTGTTAGGGAAAGCAGAATGTGGATTGACGAGAAATAATACGCATACGGTTGTATTGCACTCGCCACAGATCGGGAACATTCCATGGTTTTGGTTTGTGTTCCGTTTGCTGTAAAATTCTGAGTTGTTACCATATTCTCGCCGCTAATCCGAAGCAGTCCTATCCTTTTCCCAACAGATCATCTGCTATAGCAACGAGAAATATCTTAACTTAACAGCACTCGCCCGGCCGTTAATAATTAAAACTTACTTCCCCTGTGTGTGTCAGCATAACCATCTTTCCGATGGCGTTTACGAACTAACAATAAACAAAAGGACCGCCTGTTGTGTCACAATCAATTTTGTTTTCTTGGGCCTCCATTGCATTTATTATCACAAAAGGGAAGAAACATCTGTCCAACAGTAAGAAATTTTTACAATATTTGTTCTTAATTTTCTGCCTTAAAAAATTGCAGAATCGTTCCAATACATTTTATTGAAACCCACCCAAAGCCATTAAGACTGACAAGTAATTTAAATGGCCAAAGGGTGCGTTACTGAACACTGTATAAATTAAATCTCTAGACTCACGGCCGGAACATTTTCCCCGCAGATCATCTACTTTTGCAACGAGAAATGTCTTAACTTAACAGCGCTCGCCCGGCCGTTAATGCGTAAAACTTACTTCCCCTGTGTGTGTTAGCATAACCATCTTTTCGACAGCGTTCACGAACTAAAAGCGAGCTAAAGAATCGCCTGTTGTGTCACAATCGATTTTGTTTTCGTGGGCTTCCGTTGCATTTATTATCACCCAAGAGATAAAACACCTGTTCAACAGTAAGCAATTTTTACGACATTTGCTCTAAAAATATGACTTAAAAGGTTGTAGAATAGTTTCAATACATTTTATTGAAACCCACCCAAAGCTGAACACCAAATTACTAAATCTTTAGACTCTCTGCCGGAGCATTTTCTTTCCAATTTTTTGTGGAAATGATTTATGCTAACGACGGCCTACTTACCTGGGAATAACAACGTAGACCACGGCCAGCTGTTAATCCTGGTCGGTGTAAATTGACTTACGTGCGAGTTAGGGTTAGGAGTCAATTTACAACTCAAACATAAAGACATCAGTGGCTTTACTCTTTGACAAAAGGATGCGAAACTCTGTTTACTCTAATTTTGAGTAATGAAAAGGTTATTTTGTTTTTAATGCCCTTTCATCTTATGTCAGGTGATTCGCTGTAAACAGTTTTCTCACAAGTTAGGAATTGTGAATTTTAAAATATGTTCCTCTTTGTAAAGTTGTTGGAGAAGACTAATGAAAAAAAAATGAACTCTGTATTTTAGATGATACATGGATAACGTTTTTTATTTTTTTTACGAGGGCACGGTAACGAATCCTGCAATGTGATTGGTTCTTTACCCAGTCAGTATTTTCCTATCTCTGCCCACGAGCCACGGTAACGCTTTCGTGAATCGCCGAGTACATCCCAAATTTCGTTGCCATTTTTCATAAATATATCTCGTTTTCCCGGCTGGGCAGTATTTTAAGCAAACAAGTCGGTCACTACCTCAAGCCAATAAATGACTTATGAATCCTCTCTTTACTCCCTCTCAAACCACTTTGGTTGACAGAAAAACATTGGTTTCTGAATTAATTTGTATAAACAATAGTGTCATTACCTTGGTTGACAAGCGGCCTAAAAACCGTCTGCAGTTAATTTTAATCGTCCACAAAAAGTACCTAGAAAGTTAAAACGTGAGGTATTTCGTTACAGTTAAACTGAACGATGGAACTTTCATTCATTTAATACCTGAATTTTCTCAAGCAATTTGTTCGTAGTGAAAGAGCGAGCGAAGTTTTAATTTAAGTTCTACAACAAATATACGCTCTCGGTGAGTCTTTCCAAGTCCGTTCAATTTGGACATTTGTACCGTAAATTGCACAAAGAAACTGAAGGAAATTTTTGATAAAAGGCCGCATTAAATCCCCTTGTGTCTTGTTGGAGTCTGCCATTCGAATTTAGTTTTTGTGAATGAAAGACCAGATTTACACACGCCATTGCAGCAAACAAACGAGCAAACTCTCACAACTTCAAAATAAAAAATTTGAATTTACTCACAATTACTTTCTTCGCCGTTTACTTAATGAAAAGAGGTAAATTTTCGTACATGAATGAATCGTCGATGAGAGTGAATAATACTTTCCATTAGATAATTGACTGTTTTTGAAGAAAACATTGTCGAGACAGTCCTTGCCAAACTATTTCCGTTGTTTTTCAAATGTTCTTACACATTTTTTTTTACGCGCTCTCTAATTGACAGTTGTCAGATTGTGACAGATACTTACAAAAATAATGTTTCAAAGTTTGTTTGGAAGCCTTTTAAATCACCTTTGTCGTTACGGAAATGAAAATGTTTCGCTAAGGCATCTCTCTTGAATTTGCATCACCTCTATTTTAACCACCATTTACTCGCTCAAAAATTGTTTAGTTCATGGAAGATCTTGCCGTATTTACAGCCCTAAATCATTCGGGTTCTTTCGGAAAGAATTTCGCCGAGTTTAAAAAAAATAAATATGTTATTTACCGGCTAAGGGTCGTTCCTCCCAGCCGGCAAATAACGTATATTTATTTCACTGACAAGAAGAGGTCGAGCTTGCTAATGCACTTCGCGAGCTCCAAATTCAAATTGATCAGAAGAGCCAATCAGAGGAAAGGAAAATATCACAAGGAGCCAATGAGAAGCCATAGAAAAAACTAGCAAACTGCGTAAGGCGCAGGAAACTACAATGGACCAAATCGCGATTTGTTTCAATTTTGATTTTGATTGGTTGAGAGATCGGCGAAGGTTTTACAGAAAAAGAAGTGAAGCAAAAGATAAGCATTTCTTGATCTTTTGTTGAGCCTCAATTATTTTGATCTTTACTCTGAAAAAGGGACTGGGGATTTGCGTCTCATCTTGATTTCTAGCTTGTATGAAGTCTATTTTTGGCCGCATAAGTCCAGAGAGATGCTGTATTCAAAGCACGAATTAGTCAAATTGTGTACCTTAGTTAAGATCCAAGATTCCGAGAGCCATACCCTGGTTGACGGTACATATATGTTGAGGTCACCTGAGAGTGTGCATTTGTACCCCCTCCCCTTCCCAACCCCCCCCCCTCCCCCGTGCATGAGAAAACTTTGAAACTCAGGATGGTCAAAACAAAATGCATTTGACCCCATACACTTATCACCACCAAAGCCTACTTGCATAGGCATACCTTGTATATATAATCAGCTTACATTGCGAATATGAAGATGCTAACATGCGCATTACAAATTTACGGTAAAAAGTACAAATTTTACAATGTACACTAGATACAATCAAGGTAATTAAGATAAAAGCGATAAAATGACGAACACAGAAATAGATATAGGTAATAAAATGATTTCGAGTGCAGTTTGGTGTAAATAAGCACCAGTGTCTCAACTTTGTACTCGTGTTACGTGAAAATGTAACTGCGGTCATGCGTTGCGTGCCGCAGCTTCTTTAAATATACAGACCTACATCGTGTTAATGTTTTGCAGCTGGCTGTCAATTCTGCTGATGATGACGTAAATGGAAACTGTGATTGTAATTCTTCTGAACATACTCATTGCACAGTTGAGCACGTGGGGAGAAAGTTGGGGAAGGGTGAGGGGAGGGAACTAGAACACGAATTACTGTTTTTTACTAAACTTTTTTTAAGATCTGAATAAATGACATTCAGAGATTCAGAGAATTTTTGACATGATTCAACATCGAGAAACATAATTCCACGATTTACATGGAAAGAGGGGGAAACGGACACGAACGGTTGGAAAACGATCGATGGAACGGTTATGAATTATTTTACAAGGGTCTCAACGAGGTAATGGCTTTTATGCTTAACCGTTAACTCCTTTCCGTTGATGTGAACAGAAATGTTAAAAAGGAATTCTGATTATTTCAAAAGAGTTAATTATATCTTTTTAGTTCGAAAACACATTTACGACCGGTCGTTTACTTCCTATTTATTACTGACGGGATAAGATAATGCAGGAAAAAGTAATACGGAATTTCTCTTTACAAAATCATTACATTTTAGCGCAGAAGGTGAAGAAAGGAGAGAAAATATCATCAAGGGGATATAGATTGAGTTGTTAAAAATTCCATTCAATAGTTGTAGAAAAAATTACACACATTTACAATTTACTACAACATTATTCAAACTGGCACTGTCAAAAATTGCGCAAGCACTCCGCTCGTAGTGTTCTATTTCACTAAACAGGAATCCAACTGGAGAAAGTCAGTTTCCCGAATGGGAAAATCTATGACTACCTACTGATCAAACAGAAACAGCTTAAATAAAGTATGACTGAGGTTTTCTTACGCCCAATCATAATCAGCTCAAATTTTAAGTTTTAACGGGTCCATGCCATCGATACTTCACACGCTGAACGCTTCTACCAATCCAGTGCAGTCTCTCCCAATACTTGTCTTACCGTATATTCAAGGTGGGTCAGGGCAGGATTACCGACCCGAATTCTTTCTTCCTGTAGGTTAAATATTTTCTTTTCATTTACACCGCTGGGGACCCAATCGTTCTCGGTTCTTTCGGACAAGAAGACAACAATCAGCTTTTCCACAAGTTGTCGGTTGTCTTTGAATTCTTCATGTATGAATTTCCCATCAAAAGTAACGAAACGACCTTTTGTTTCTTGCTGTTTGCTTCTGATAAGAGATGAAGCTTGAGGAGAAGCGACCAGCACTATACAGTCACTGTTGCGAAGTGCCCACTCTACATTTCGTTTTTCTGCCAGAGTGCCAGTTATATTTCTCACTTCTGCTGACTTTCGAAGCTTACCCTGTAAATAATCCTGGAGTTCTTGAGCGTTATCACTGTCACTTGCAGTGCACAAAAAGAAAACGGTTTTCATGTTGGGCTACAATTTGTTAGCGGGATTGCTGACAGGCTGTCCAAACCGGTGGTTTTAAGGATCGTTAGTTAACTTGATATTCAAGGAGAATAGTTATGAAGAATGATTAAAATAGTTCTATCGTGGGTAAATGTGCGAAATATGCGAAATATGCGGGGAAAGTAAGATGTACGTGGAACATTCTGTCACTCGCTATCAACTTATCTCATGATGCATAGGCTGGCACCCAAAAATCTGAAGTATTTGTTTATGGACACACGTTCGGATCTCTCCAGAAGTTATTTTCTTAGTTCAGAGACGGAAACAATGGTGTGCAAAGTGTTAGGGACCGTCAAAATTTCTCATTTTATTATGGACGTTTTAAATATAACAGTTTCTTTGTTTAATCAGTGTTTCAATGCCTTTTTTTTTTAAAGCAGAGATTCCGAAGTTCGACGGTAAAAAATATAAAAAACTGTGCACTGGTAGAATGCTTGTGCTGAAGTGTTTTGAAATAAAATTTAAGTAATATAATTGCAGATACGAATACAACGCCTACAGGTCATTTGGCATGTCTGGGGCCTTAGGCAATATTTTCTTGTGGGGTTAGAATGGGGAATCCAACTCCGGTAATTTGTTTTGCATACCAGGAATATTTAATATTTTCTTTTTATTTATGAGAACGAGACCAGAACCTCCCCAACTACGCCCTTAAGACTTACGAAGTGCCAAATATTTCCCAACTCGTGAATATATAAACATCGATGGCCCGTCCTAAAGTCTCATCAATTGGACGACTAAATAGGTTTTTGTTGGGATTTTGCACGCGATTTGTACGGATGCGTAATTGAATTACGTGACTTTTGAGATCGCAATCTCGCTTTTCGCGCGCTTTTTTCTTCAGGGAATAGTGTGTACATTACATGCAAAATTTGGGAAAAGTGTCGAACTCTCTAATTCACTCAAGAATAAACGTCTCTGGAAGTTCTGGAAATAATTTCGTTTCTCACAGTTGTTTTAAATCGAATTCGCTTAGGTAGTTTCAAGAATAAATCAAGCCGTATTGTTGTCCCATTGGGTATTGAGTTTCGGTTTGCACTCACGTGTAAAGATCAGTTAGTTCAGCTTTCCAGAAATTAGAATTGGTCAGCATGGTCGGTGTCTGAACAAGGAAACAAAGCTTTTCTTTCGCTAAAAGGTGATTTTTAACTGAAAAAAACGATTGGATGCATTCTGCTATTCCTTCTCTTTATGCTGTTGTATGAAAAAAACTTAAGATTGTGTTTAATTTCTTTTTCTTCTGTGTCCCCAATAAGCATATATTAACACAATCTATGGGAGTGTTTCTTGTGTAACGAACACGAGGAACGTAACACCGGTAACACTAGAACATTTTTGGGAAAACATCCCAAAAGATACCAAAAAAAAAAAAAAAACTGGAACAATTGCCCAAGTGTGCCTTGATACTTTTATTTCTAACCCTTTAAACCCTGAGAGTGACCAGCATCTAATTTCTCCTAACAGTAATGAAGCTGAATCATTCAGTAAGCTTATGAGAATAAAGGAAATGATCCCCAACCAAAGAAGCTTTGATTGCTTAACTAATTCTCCTTGTCAGCACTAAAGGAAATGTATAGTGAAGAGTATGGAGAATATGGATACTGATATTAGGGTGTAAAGGGTTAAAGAAAACGCACTCGACTGGTCAAGATGACGGTACTTAGAGAGGCCCACTTCGAATATGTTTCGACGTAGGACGGAAAATCAAGCCGAAGCCCATAAATAAAGGTTTATACACGAGATATGTAGACAATAGCAAAGTTTTTCTTCTTGGATTGACTGATTCAGTTTTGCTTCTCTTTTCACAAAACATTTTAAGTTGTGCAGAGGGAGTTCTTTGCTAAGTTGAAGAAAGACGATTTTTGTTGATCCCCAGTCCTCTTCAAACTCTTCTCGGGAAGCGCTTGGCCTCGACTTCATGTACCAGATCCAAATAGAGTTCTGTTGTAATAGTACTTCATTCTCTTCGTCAGAGCTGCTTTGGTGCTTCTCTTGAATTGGTCAACGTTTGATGTTTCCATTGGGAAAATATCGTGCACATCTTAAGTACTACCGGCTTAGATGTCGGCAGCTGGTGACAAATGATTCAGAAATGGGAGATAAAGAGCAAGATTCTATGAAGCCCTCTGAGAAATACAATGAGTTTAAACTGGGAGAGCCGGTATTCGGCAGAAATAAATTGGACACGGAGTTCTGGATCAAGGTACTTAAACTAGCTGCGCTTCTTTTAACCATAAACACTTTCGATTATTAGAGCTGGTTATCTTGTTTCTGTTTCGTTTGACACAAAATTCAACTGAATTTGTATGCGAGGTTTGGAAGCGACCTCGTGTGCGCCACTCATGCATCATGAATTCGTATGCCATCTTTGAATGGTGGGCATTTTTAACATGTCAAACCACTGCCATATACGATGGTTGATAGGTTCATCAGAAGCAGAATGAAGGATTGTCATGGAACAGAGCTATGGATGAAGTGCAAGTGGACTTCATGATCCAGAAATACAAGGACAATGGAGAGCTGATCAGTGAGGATCCAGCCCTATTGATACTAAAACATTGGCCAAACTGTAAAAAGTATAAAGAAAACTCTGATTGTCTGAAAGGACTTGAACAGCTGGTAAGCGTTACTTTATGAATGAAACAATTTACCGCCATTTTAATTTGCATTAGCAGTATTCTGTAAAATTTCTAGCTGTAACGCAAAATACAACAGATAGCAGTTTCCAAATTAGTTTTTAGAAAGTATATTTACTTATTTGACAGTAAGAGATTTTGCTATTGATCGGATCAAAGAACTATCTTTTAAAAATACTTGTTGCATCTCCCTTACCCTATTTCTCTATTGACTAATCATTCTAAATTGGGACTAATTCACCAAATTAAAGTTGAGTTTATAAACACAACCCTTAACCTGGAGAACCCCTCCAAAATTTCATCTTTTACTTGAACTAATAAATGTAATTGCAAGAAGTTTAAATTCTTTCTGTAGGTAAATCGATATTTGGAGATTTTGTTAGAAAGTGAACTGAACTCAGAAAACAGATATCAGACTTTCAGAGATAAAGAGGACAAGACAAAGAAGACATTGCTGCACTATGCTGCTGAATTTGGCTTTTTACATGTTACCAAAACGCTTGTTAAGAAATGTCCATTACTGCTAGGGCTAAAAACAGTTGAACAACTTGAACCCGAGCAAAGAGCCATGTTACCAGTTGAGTCAGCAATACTAGCCATGAATGATGAGGTGGCAGCTTATCTAATTAGAATAATGTGGCATGACAGGTATGCAGGTTCATGACATGTGAAATATAAAGTGGTAGTGGTCATTGACCAACTGATATGCACAAGTGAAGCAATGAGATTGAATTGCAAAAAAAAAAAGTGGAACCTGCTTCTAAAATTGTCTCATTTCCAAAATTTGGTGAGGTAGACCAGTTCTGGTACATTAAGGACCCAACTAGTATCTTGGAGGCATAGGTCCAATCCTCACTAAAGCCTAAAGTGTTTTGGGTTATTTTTTGTGAGATATCTTTACTTGTTATCCAGTTAGTTACCTGTGTAAACATCCACAGGTTGTATATCTTTCATTTATTTTTAAACTTATGATTGTTGAAGTCTCTAGTATCAAGGGCAACATTTAATGGCTGTGTAAGCTAGCTCTTTTCCTTGTTGATCTTATGGCATCTTAAAAGTTAGAAAGCAATTATTCTGTTCATTGCTGTGCATGAGTCAATTCTGCAACTTCAGGTTTTGGTGGATGATCAAATACAAAAGAAATAAAAGAAATGTAAACAATAGACAGCAAAATAATATGGTACAACTGAGTTCTAGCTGAGACACAATTATTTCCATACTTGCATGTTTAATATTCCACTTTCATTACAGGGTCAAAAGTTTATTTTCTTGGATACCAGATGATATGACAGAACCTCTGCCTTCATTGTTCAGTTTCAAATCTGTTATTGAGAATCCCAAAATGAAGGTGAGTGCAATTTTGTTTTTGTAAAATTTAAGCAAGGGTTCCAAATATTACCTTACAAGATATGACAAAAAGATAAGTCAGTTGGAAAAGAAAAAGCTACATTTCAAAAATTGATCTCCAATTTTTCAGTGCTTAATATTTGATCTACTTCAGTAACATAATGGAACTATTAACTTAAAGAGAGCTATAGATGGCTGTTAATTTTGTCTTTTGTAATCTGAAAGGGGCTGTAAAAATTCTGTTACTTATGTTAACATCACAAAACAAAAGTGATGTTTCACATTGTAAAAAGTTGCATGACATTTCAAGGATAATTATCCTTTTTTCAGAGGAAAGTCAAGGATTGTGAGAAGTACTGGATTGCCTTTTAGAGGGCACATGTTAAATATTGATGTTTTTCAACTAGTGAGTGAGGATACAATTTATAGTATTTGACGAATAAAAAATGTATGTCATTATAATAGCTAATTGTACAGCTAGCCCTTTTAGCAGATTAGTGTTTAAAACTGTTTTACTTTTATATGTTGTAAAGCAATTAAATATGCTGTTTGCATTAATCACAGAAAACAGTAGAGGCTGTATTAGACCAGATGGTACATCCCCATTCGTCACATCTCCCAAAACGCAAGGACAGCTATGACAATGAAGAAGAGAAAGAGGCAATTGAAGGAGTCTGGAGGACAATTACAGATGATCCTCTAAACTACCACTTCTATTATCATATTTTGGATGGTGATGAAGGAGGACGGCCTCCAAAGCTTTTGTCTCCAGGGGAATATAAACAGACAGATAACAAATTCTTTAACTGGAGAGATAAATCATGTTTGCATATGATTGCAACAAGCAATAATATGGTAAGGCTAACATTGAGAGAAAAAATATCTGGTAGCTAAATGAATATAGCTGAATGAATGAATGAATGAATGAATGAATTTTTTGAATGAAAATAATTAATCACCAAATATCATTCAATATTATGGTATATCTATTGATTTTTTGCATTTAAATTTACAATGTGTAAGTTTTTTTTGTACCTCTAAGAGTGCTCTATGTAGAGGTATATAAGCAGAGCAAAGCAGAAGGGACTATATAGCAATGAAGAAATTTACTTCATGGTTTCAAACACTGATTGCATGATAATTAGTTTGACAAGTATCAAGTGAAACCTGCAGACATTAGGCCCTTCTTAACATGGAATGTTATATAATGTATCTTAGAAGGGTCTCAAAGCAGCCAAGGAAGGAGAATTGTTACTCCTCCAAAATGGGATGCTTCCTCGATTAGTCTCTCTGACAGTTTTCTGGTAATCACTTGTACTCCTTGGTGGAAAAAGGCATTGTGGGAGGAAAGTATTAAATCACCTCACCAGAGCTTGATCTATGACTCATGAGTTGTATGCAATCAATGACAACATTAGGCAGTTCGGTTTGCCTGAATTAACAACTTACCTCTTACATTTTGTGGAAGATGTCAGGATAGGTTTTTACTTTTGTTTCCTGGCAGAATTTTTATGATGTATCTTGCTTACCGTATGTTTCAATCTTTGCACTTGAAACACTATTGACTAAAACTGGCATTTACATTTTCTCATGCATATTTATTGCTTTGTGGTTCATCTCCACCTATTAACTGACAGGTAAATTCTAGGGATTGTCGTGACTTGAACTTTGACCAATCTGCCAACTTAAATTAATCACAGTTAGAGAAATTCATATATCCCTTTGATCCTTAGGAGTAACTAGCTGGTAATTCCTCCCAAGGATATAACCCATAGATCAAACATTTCATAAAAGACACGAGAATAAAGGAAACGATTACCAACTAAAGAAGCTTTGATTGTTAAACGGATCGGCTAAACTTCAGAATACCCCGCAACTTTGGTCCGCCTCACTTACATGTGTCGGGAGGCTTTGAAGATCGAGGCATAACACAATAGACGATATTCTTATTCAATGACATGTAAATGAGTTGCGGGGTATTCTGAAGTTGCTCCAACGGATCCTCCTTTTCAAGTCCTTAGGAAATGTGTTGACAATAAACAGTATGGAGAATATACTTATTTATGTTAGGGTGTCAGTAAAGGGTTTTATCACTTATTATGAAGTTTATTCAGTTTCACATATAAGCAGTATACCAAACGAGGATCTATTCTGATTATTTTGCATCCATGCATATCATAGATTTTTGATTAAAATACATTTTGACTTTCATTTTCAGGAGGCTTTGCAGCATCCAGTGGTCAGAATGTTGATTAAACGAAAATGGCAAGATTATGGACGTTGGTTTCTCAGGTATAATTATGTAAACGCCGTTGTATATCTTTACTCAGGGTACTGTATGTAACAGTCCACTGATAATTCAGATGTTAGACTCACTTGAACTTTATGTCACGAATTAGAAAGAGTAAGTGAATTAATTTGGGCTTCAAAAATACCTTAAACCTCTTCCCTGAGTAATCTCAATCGTAAGTTGTTTGGTCTAGTCACGAAACGCGCTTCCCCCCCCCCCCCCCATCTACGTCGGTGAAGAAGAGAGCGCCTTGCGTGGCTAGACCGAAAAACGACTACGAAGGAGACGACACTCCCAGGGGTGGGCCGGCAAGATTCCTAAATCGTCAATATGCCCCGTGAATTTTTTACGCAGACGTTACAATTGAAACTAATCGAATAAAATGAGAAAACGGTTGCACAGAGAAAGAGATAGGTTGCTTTACCTCAACAAAATAATGCACAATTCAATTTCTTCAACCTCAATAAGAAGCGATTGCTTGACAATAAAACTTGTAAATGTAAGCTGTTCTTTGATTAACAGTGTGATATATTGTAACGTACACACGGATGAAACGATCACTATGTATAATAGTCCATTTTACAGTTGTGTGCTTGGTTGCCAAGCCTTTGAACAGGAGTGAGGCTAAGGGTGACCTTGTTATGATACAAACCTTGCTGCTTTTGAAATGCAAATTAATTTGTTATCATGCTAACTAGATTCTGGTCTCTAACACAACAAGGTCACCTTCAGCCTCACTCCAAATCAAAGGCTTGGCAACTAAGTACACAACTGTAAAATGGCCTATTAATACTTTTTCTACAGTCTTCAGGCGGTATTGTATGTCGTCTTCTTACTGTTAATGACGTATTCTCTGCTGCATGCCTCAACCAGACCGGACCCAAATAGTTACAGGAGTGTGATAGACTCGTTGCGTGTATTTTGTGAGGTTGCTACTCTTTTCATGGCTGGCGTTTACATATGCGAAGAAATAAATCAGATGAGGATGTGAGTAACCAAAGGACTACTGATGAGCAGTAATTCAGATGAGTGTCACATAAAATCTTAAGGGGGAAGCTTTCGAGACTATCAAATATTTCAGTAAACAATTAAAATATTGTGATTTGGTATTACCACACTGAACTGATAACGTCAATTGACCAGGATAAAGAACTGAGTGAAAAGCTGACGTTTCGAGCGTAAGCCCTTCGTCATTCGCTCTGACGAAGGGCTTACGCTCGAAACGTCAGCTTTTAACTTCCTTACGGTGGCCAATTGACGTTATCAACTCAGTTGATAATACTAAATTATCCTGTTATACTCTGCCACCGGCGCAGCACCACAGTTTCTTCAGAAACCTACCCCCTTTATTCAATTAAAATGTTGTATTGTCCAATTATTGCGTCGTCGAAATGTAAGGTAGTGTTATTGAACAGTATTACGTTTTCGCTGATCAATGAGGACTTATTGTCAACATGCAATTTTAGATATCTTAAGCAAAATTCAAACTAATATTGATGCAAAGTTATTCTCTTGTGGTATTTTTATTGACCTAAAAAAGGCTTTTGATACGGTGGATCACTCAATCTTACTGCACAAATTATATCATTATGGAGTCAGAGGAATAATTAATAACTGGTTCTCTTCGTACTTGTTGAACAGGAACCAGTCGACTCAAATTGGTTCAACCGTGTCGAATATAGAAGAGATAGTTTGTGGTGTCCCTCAAGGGTCTGTACTTGGCCCCCTTCTCTTTTTTGATTTATGTTAACGACATTTACCGTTGCTCCCAGATTTTTGAGTTTTACCTATTTGCTGACGATACTAACTTGCTTTATTCAAACAAAGATCTTAAGGATCTTGAAAAAGTTGTTAATGATGAACTCGCAAAAGTGGGTGACTGGTTGGACGCAAACAAACTTTCTCTTAACACTAGTAAATCTAACTTTGTTATTTTCCATCCTTACCAACGCAAATTGGACTACATAGTTCACTTGAAAATTTATAATAACGATCTTAAAAAAGTGTATCTCTAGAACAAAAACTTTTGTGAAATATCTAGGAATTCTGATAGATAATAACCTCTCTTGGAAGTATCATATTGATTATATCTCATCTAAAGTTAGTAAAGGAATTGGTATAATTGCCAGGTTAAGACATCTTGTCCCATTTGCCACACTTCTTAACATCTACCGCTCCTTAATTGAACCCTATATCTCTTATGGTCTTATTGCCTGGGGACAAGCTGCTAACACTCATTTAAATAAGGTTCTCATTTTACAAAAACGTGCTCTACGACTAATGTATTTTGCGGATAGCAAATCTCATAGTGCCCCGCTATTTGTTAACTCCAGAATCTTACCAATAACTATGCTCTATTCTCATTTGGTTTCCTCTTTGATGCATGACATTGATAATCACCGTGCCCCGTCTAATATTTCTATGCTCTTTATCCACTCCGAGCAGGTTCATCACCATTTCACAAGATTCTCAGCAACGGCTAATCTGTACGTTAAAGCGTCTAGAACTAACCAACTTTTATTTTCTTTTGCTAGAATAGGTGTAAGATTGTGGAATAGCATCCCAAAAGAACTTCGTATTAAAAACAGAACCCCGTTTAAGCGTGAACTTAAAAATCGCCTGTTAAAACTTTTGGAAATTGAGGAGATGAATGTTGATATACGCTGCTCTGAAATTTGTAAATATCTCTTGATAAAGTAACTCTTCGTTTAAGTCTTGTTTCAATTGTATTATATATCTTGATAACTTTGCAATTGATTATTTAATTATTCAACGGACTTAATTTTATTTTATTTTATTTAACAATTGTATTTTTATTAATGATTATCTTTGTTTAATTGTATCGGTATGTGATCCTTAGCAGAGACAGCACTTGTTTTAGAAGGGTGGCCCGCCTAGAATAGCTTGCTAATTGCGGGTCACCTAGGTCTGTGATAATATTGTATTGCTAACAAATAAAATTGAATTGAATTGAAATTGAATTGAATTGTTGGTAACCTCGTCTACTAGATCTACATGTAAGTATGTATCAACAGTGTGTTTATTTTCTAAGACATCAGCCTCACTTTATCGAAAATTCGCATCTTTTTACGACCTCCTTTGCCGTCTGACTATGAAACTTTCCTAGCAGTGGCTGTACTGAAATAGCTGACGGTCTTACAAACCTCCTACATCAGGGCTTTTTTGCTTTGTCCCCTTATCGTCAGGAAAATCCTAGGGCCGGTTATTTACACGAGGTCTAACCCAAACCGCGGTTTCTCGCTAGCAGTGGGCCTCTAGGATTCTCCATAAGAGAATTGTCAGTTTCCTTAAATATATATCCTTTCACTGCTAGCTTTCGGCCCTCTTGCCACTGTTGGCAAAAATAAATTTTCGGATGAAAGATTAAGCTAAATTCAAGATAGTTTACAACGCGGTTTTGTAAACAACGGTTAAACTTTGTTTAAGTAACCGTCCCATAGCATTTAAGTCTTTCCGGAAGCGAAGGGGGTCAAAACACAATTTTTTTGCCTGATTTATTTCAGAGAAGGGCATTCATACATCACAGAGTGGATGACCCTGTTTGACTGGTTAGGCCTGTTGTTGGTCCTATGTATAATACCCTTGCGGTTCACTGGTAGCAAAGCACAGTGGACGGTTGCATCTTTAGCTGTCTTGTTCAATTTCTTGAGGATATTCAAGTTTTCTTGTGTTACAAGGTGATATTTTTAGTAACGGCAGATAAACATCTACATCGCGCATAGTAACGTGTTGTCCAGGAGCTTAATAATTGCAAATTCAAAAAGAGTACTAGCATAGCTGATACAATCAGACAGACCCCCTTTGCATGTGGAGGAGGTACATGTAGGTCTCCCGGTGGTTTACGAATTTAAAAATACCCAAATGGGAAATCGTTTATGTGCACAATCGTAGAAAGATCGATTGTCTTAAACGCGCGACCCAGCTGGTTCCTTCTCATTTTTAAGATACAGCGGCCGATTGAAATACGATGAATGATCCGGTTATAAGTAAGGATTTACTGTCTCAGGGTCTCTTGATGAAGTTTACGGCCAATAACCATGTAAATACCAACCTGTTATTTTATTTTTCAGGACAACAGGATTATACACCAAAACTTTGGCTAAGGTCATTCAGCAAGACTTGACACGATTTATGACTGTTTTTATTGTGGTCTGTCTTCCCTTTTGTGGTGCCTTGTTTTTATCTCTTCGTTTCTCCAAAGAGAATCATCAGTTTAGGTACGTCTGGGTTTAGTAGATACCAGCACTTCCTTAATAGAGCCTCGTCCGATGAGATCACTACCACTTTATGGATCTTATTGCGATCAGTGTTTGCGAGTTTTTGCTCTAGCTATTCCGAGTGAGCTTAAGTAACTCAAGTTAAATATACTCATAAAGTCATGATAAAATAAATTTTCTTATGGAGGCTCCATGGTGTTTTTTGACAGCGCGAGATTTGGGTGCGAACATATCACGAGCTTTAAAGTGTCTATATGCAGAACAAATATGGCGGCTCGATACGATCTCACGACAGTTTAACTCCAGGCGGTGTGCGCACTCTCATTGCGTTACATCATGGTCGTAAAACGAAAAGCGAGTTATTAGCATCCTGTCGCGGTCGAGTGGACATCTCTAGTGGCAAAAAGATAGCGTGAATAAACGTGGAATGTAATGGGGATTCACTGTCTGTTGCATTTCCTTCGAAAGTGGACAAGTGTTTGCGGGCCTGCACGACTCCTGCTATTCCTCCGTGTCAAATTCGTAGTTAGGAGGCAACTGAAGAGATTCAGAAAGAAACGAAACTGCTGCTTTGCCAAAGAATCTATTCATTTGCATCATTTACACTCACAGCCGATGGATGTGTGAATAATATCAAATTCGCGAGTTTTTAACAGGGAATCTACCTTAACATGCAAACGCATTATATAACAAAAAAGGGCAAGGGAATGGCAGGAATGGCACGAGCCTATCAACACATTTTAACGATCGACCGCCTTTTGCTTTCCGGCTTATCCGGCGTGTCGCCGTGTGCAGTGTGGAGTTATTCATTGATCAAGTGACTCCTTTCATTGCTCTAATTCATCTGTCCTTCATTCAATGATCAAGATAGTAGATTTACCATACAACACTCGCCATTAGAAAGTTTCCTTTTCCTTAGGAAAGTAGATTTTCAACATAATTGAGTATGCGATAGTAACGCTGTGTAACGCAACAATGGGCCTCTTCTCGGGAGAGAAGAGAGAGACACAAGAGTTCAACCGAAAAGAAAACACGGTGGAAAAGATCCAGATTCGAAAGTCTACGCATGCTCTGATGCCGATCCTGGCGAAGTTTTATTCCATTCCATTATCTTTCGAGTCAGATTTATCACGTTTCCTTCGGTGGAATTTCCTAAGATTTGCTGAACCGTTACACCGATTTGTTCTCTTCCATGAGAGAAAAAAATCCATTTGGACCAAATTTTAGATTGAGGAAGAAAACAAAAAATTGCAAATAGTGAGGAAACTGCCTTTGTAACTCCTATTTTTTTCACCGTTAAATGATCTGCAGGACAATTTTCACAAAATGTGAACGTTTTGAGAGGTTTCACCAAAGCAAATTGAGGGAAATCCAATGCAAAGCCAAATTATCACAGGCGAGCGCCTCTCTTAGTGGAACCTTAGCTTAATAACGAAAATTATTTTGATAATATTTACTACAGTAAATAATGGTCCGAACCTTGCGCATTGCTTTTTGATGACTTACAGTGACCTTGAAAAGCGAAAACATAAAAATCTTCTAGAACATTACGCTGGCGCGCGCGCCAATATTGAGCAAAAACCCTATAGAGCCTCCTCAACTTGTAGGTGGGATGTAGGTGGGCACGCTTATAGGGGTGTTATGAGTAATGTGTCAATCACCAAACTTTTTACTTTACTTTTATATACTTTAACACTGATCTAGTGGCTTAGGAGACGTGTTGCAGAGCGGTTTTCGAGCAGTGTTCGAACAACGACCCATTGCGGAAGATTACACAGGCTTCAAGTAAGTTTATGATTAGTTGTCTCCTTGGTATCTCTTGCAACTTCAATTTTTTTCTTCAGAAAAATAGGTCAGCGTGCATCAACTGCGGTACATGCGTTGTCGTGCTACAGCTGCATCAAATGTACAGACCTTCATCGTTTTATTTCTTTGTGCAGCTGGCTGTCAATTCTGCTGATGATGACGTACATGGGGACAGTGATTGTGATACTTCTGAACATACTTATTGCACAGTTGAGCACGACCTACATTCACGCCAAGAAAGTCGCCCGTCTGGAGTACGATGTGGATCGTATTTTACAGCTCACTCGCATGGAAAGATTTCCTTTTCTGGTATGTTAGGAAATGGGCCTGTTGACTAGGGTTGGCCGTAGGAATTTCTTTTCATTGGTTTCTGTATCTCTAAATGTAAGTTTAGGAAAAATTTTAACGCAAGGAGGTTTTTTCTCCAAACCCTTTTTGCTGAAATCGCTCTCGCACTTAATCTTTCAGCGAAAAAAGTAGTTCGTTTAGATTTGTTAGACAATTTTAAAGTTTGTTTTACTCATAGGTAGATGTATTCAACATCTACTTTCATTGTCCAGTTGGAGATTACAGATGACGTCAAAATGTGGTTGGAGCAAAAAAAAAATTGGTTCACAAGGCGCAATTGAGTGTGTCACTGACTTACCACACTTTGACGGCTTTTGTGATATAATATACAGAAAGGAACCATGGCAACACGGAATATATTTGATTTGTATGCAAAAAAGCGAAACTGCTAGTAATAGTGACGTCATCTATGCATCTGCCATGCCCTCTGGTAAATCATTAGTAAGAACCAATCAAAATTCGTGTCCTACTTCGCTTTTTTTATAGAGATATTTGTATTTACCTTTCCACAGCTGAACTCACAATTGTTTCTTTCCATCTCTTAAGAACTTGCGTGTGAAGTATTACAAAGAGGGAGAATGGATCAGTGAGAGGAAACTGGCGGAAGGTTTGGAGGAAACAAAGACTGCTTAGATTGTTATTCTCAGATACCAATATACTGTATGTTTTCATTCTGTTTGCGTTAATGAATCGGAACCGAGAATCGCCGATATGATTTAGTTCGCGATTTTCCGCGCGCACAACTTTTCCTAAGTTAAATTTATTGATGCATGGCTTCCCCAGCAGCTGCAATTGCAATTCATCAAATGACGTATTTTTTTTCTAGAGCTTCTGGAATTCAGCGAAGAACGTAATCCTTGGGAGTCAGTGGAAAAGAAGCTAAATGCGATAAGGTAACAACCGTTATTTCTTTCTCCTACTATCGTATCTGTACCCTCAACCATCTACTTAGCCGCCTACAACTTTCGTTTTGATGTCTAGGAAATTTTCTTCCACAGGGACATGATGAGAAAGATTGTGAAACAGATAAGGCCAGGAAGGGATGAACAATTGTCAACAAGGATGTTTTAAGTGAAATTATGTTCTGTCTTATTTATAAATTCGATTTTTTATCCGTTGCAGCTCGATTTTGACCTCGGTGATTTAAAAATCTAGCTTTATATTTAGCCCTTTTTAAAACTATAGAGCTGTACACACGCGTTAAGCTATAGAAATAAAATTGCTAAACAGTAAGCAGTTGTGCCTAAAGCTTGTTTGCTAGCAAAAAAAAAAAATTAATTATTCTTAAATATCAGTTCTCGCAGTTGTGATTTCTTCTCTTAGATTCCCTTCCGAAAGCTATTCTAAACTGCTACAACTTTCTTTCTGTATAATTTTTACAAGAGCATGGTATCAGCCCTCGTCGAGTCTGCAATCTTTTGTTTGAGGTTATCTGCCTGTTCTATTTTTTTTTTTTTAAGTTAAAATGTTCACTTGATCAATATCCCGCTTGTTTGTTCTTTTAAAAAAGAACAAACATAAGTCTGCTGGGTTTTTATTGTTGTATCAAACCAAGAGGGTATGATTGGTTTATCCTCTTCTGACGAACTTTCGTGTGGTATTTTATTGTATTGAACGTACACTGAGCTCACCATGGCAAGAGTTTAACAAACACCAAAGTTTGTTGGTGTTTGTTATTTACAATAAGTTGTTTTATGTTGGCTTCCAAGCTACTATTATCTCATGTTTATGTTCTTGTGCTGTTTTCGTCAACAAATTAAAAGTATCAGAAGAGATTAAAATTTTTACTGCTCTTATCTGGATAGAAGTATGGAAAAAAATTTTCCAACCCGCTGTCTCTTTGATGTTTTGACTTAAAACTTGTGGAATGAATGAATGCGGATGACATCATGCTGAGCAGTCATGGAGCTCAAGGAGGAAAAAAAGTAAACGAAATAAGGCCCCGCCCGTTCTTATCACAGAAATAGAAGAAACTCTTAACGGTTTTGTTAAGGGCAATTTTAAACTATTTCGCCTCCAAAACCATTTTACCATGGAAAGTTTTCTTCAGATCATCAAAAGTAGTAATGAGTTTTCAGCGACATTTAATCGCCTTTGTAACGTTAATTTCGACACAAAGAGAAAACGTGTAGTTTGAGGAAAAACCTGTTTAGTTTGAACGACGTTATTGCACTGACATTTGCATAGAGTCAAATTTTTAAAAACTCTTCCTCATTTTTCTCAACAAGATTTTTTATTTAAGCGTGATGATGACGAAGACTGGAAAATCACAAATATTTTTAAGCGAGATGTCATGATTATAAGGCCATATCAGAAAGTGATAACCAACTAATGTGATCAGTTGTTGGTAGACATTGATGAAATAGTTTGGAAGGTGAGTGAAGGGCAAAAAAGATTAGAGAAAGAGGGACAAAATTACCTTGAGTGCAGGAGGATAACACAGTATGCGTGTCTTTGCACTCCACCTACGAGAAACGGGAAACATTGGTTGGAGAGATAATTTTGTATGTATTCCACCTCCTGTGAAATTTTTTTTCCTCATCATTCTGCCTGTAATTTAAGAATTCGTTCATGCTTAGCGTGCGTATTTATCGAGTTATGGATGCACGCTGGAGTTTGGAGAGTACGAAAAATGAGAGAGTAGCTCGAGGCGCAGCCGAGAGCAACTCTAGGTTTTTGAGCGTTCTCCAAACTTCCCAAGTGAAAAATTGGGCAGTTCTTCGCTGGTTTCTTCCATTTTTCAAAGAGAAGGAAAACTGCACTGCAGCCTAACCTTATATAGGGCAAGCATGCGCGCTATGTTATAAAAGCCCTTATTTCGTTTTTATGCAGGTTGTGGATGATTGCCCTAAGAAATATTTGGTGTTAACAGTGCATGCCAAGTAAAGGTTACTTAAACCCTCAATCAATATTATTTGAATAAAATCGATATTCTCAGTAGCGCTTAGTCTTTTAAAATGTGCAAACTTATATCAGTTATGTCAAAGAGGGTGTCTATTTTTTTTAAAGTATACCTTGAGTTTTTAATCTCTTAGGAAGGAAACACTTCTTCAGCAGAAAGCAATTTTATCGACATTTGTTCTGACTCGATATGCTGAAAGGCGCAAATAGTTCCAAAGCTCTGAAACGCTATTAGTCATAACGGGAGCATTTCATGTTCAAGGTTATAGGCTTTTGGTCAGAAAACTAAAGCGACTTTTTATCCTTTTAAATTGCTTAATTAACCACAGAGTGTAATGTAGAAGAGACGCTTTCTTCGGCGGCCAACTTAATACTTGGTACGGAGTGGTGTAGACAATAACCAGCCGTTTACCTTTAAGTAAAGCAATAATCCGCGCAGGTGACCTGCATTTTAGGCAATTGCAGAAAAACAATTTATTTTATTAAAAGCTATGAGTTTATTTTTTCCTTTATAGAAATTAATGTAAGTGCGAATTGGTTAAAGTAACCGGTTCATTCATATTGCAAACATAAGACATTAGTGATTTCACATATTTAGAGCGCATTATAAGTAAAACTCCAATTGTTACAACGATTCCAGTGATAAAGGTCTATGTTGTTTTCACCCACTATACGGTCACTACTCTCAACTTACAATTATTTCAGGCTAATTAGCTTTATAGGGATCAATATAATCTAACCCGAACAGAAATTCACCTTATCAACGACATAGTGTTTGTCTCCTTGTCAGCTTTACTGCTTGTCTTACTTCGCTAATCTTCCAGCAGTAAATGAACGGGTTCAAGGTTGAGTTAAAGCTGACAAAAACCACCGTTAGTGCCTCACTGACGACTAAATGTGTTGCAGATATTTTAGTAAAAGTTCTCAAAATTACCAGTATGCAATAAGGCAGATAGTAGACCAATAGAGCTACCTGCACGCACAGAGCATTGTACACGGCCTTTCTGTAACGTGCGATGTTCAGTGCATTTGGTTGGCTCGGATGTTTTTGAGCATGATCTTGTATTTGAATGTGATGAAGACGAAGAGCTCTAAAAATCTTTGTGTAAGATGTGGATGAGATCATCAAGCAAGACGCTGTAATACAAAGCCGTACCAAAATGTTATGTGGTAAATTAAGCTTCTGCATAAAGCAACGACACCGGCTGCAATCCAAAAGGCACCTAAAATGACATGGATGCGCTTTACGGTTACAATTTGTCTGTATCTCAACCCCAACAACAGGGCGAGAAGTCTGTCGACACTTATAGCCGTCATTGTCGACAAAGATACTGAACATAATGCATAGCCTGATACGAAAACTGCGTGGTATGTCCATCGATAACGGCCCCAGTCTTCGTGAATAAAGGACATAAAATGGATGACAGCTAAAGGATGAACGACAAGGCCAACTAACAGATCTGTTATTGCCAGGCAACGATAAAGGACTCTGGACGGCGGATGAAGGGAAGATTCCTTATGAAGGGCAACAAGGATGGAGGAATTGCTAAGAAATGCTGTTAGGGAAAGCAGAATGTGGATTATCGAGAAATAATATACATATGGTTATATTGCACTCGCGGTAGACCGACAACTTTCCATGGTTTTGGTTTGTGTGTTCCGTCTTCTGATAGATTCTGAGTTATCACCATATTCTCGCCGCTAATCTGGGGCAGTCCTTTCCTTTTTCCAACAGATCATCTACTATAGCAACGAGAAATATCTTAACTTAACAGCACTCGTCCGGCTGTTAATACTTAAAACTTACTTCCCCTGTGTATGTCAGGATAACCATCTTTTCGATAGCGTTTTACGAACTAATAAAGAACAGAAGAACCGCCTGTTGTGTCAATCAATTTTGTTTTCTTGGGCTTCCATTGCATTTATTATCACAAAAGGAAAGAAACATCTGTTCATCAGTAATTTATGACATTTGCTCTAAAATTATGACTTAAAAGGTTGTAGAATAGTTCCAATACATTTCATTGAAACCCACCTAAAGCCATTAAGACTGACAAGTAATTTAAATGGCTAAAGGGTGCGTTACTGAACACTGTATAAATTAAATCTCTAGACTCTCTGCCGGAGCATTTTCTTTCCAATTTTTTGCGGAAATGATTTACGCTAAAGACAGCCTAATTACCTGAGAATAAAAACGTAGACCACGGCCAGCTGTTAATCTTGGTCGATATAAATTGACTAACGTGCGAGTTAGGGTTAGGAGTCAATTTACAACTCAAACATAAAGACATCAGTGGTTTTCCTCTCATTTTGTGTAATGAAAAGGGTTATTTTGTTTTCAATGCCCTTTCATCTTATGTCAGTTGATTTGGTGTAAACAGTTTTCTGACAAGTTAGGAAATTGTGAATATTAAAATGTGTTCCTCTTTATAAAATTGTTTGAGACGAGTAATGAAAAATTAAATTAAAATTTAATTTAATTACTGCATGAAAAACATTTTTAGTTTCACTGACAAGGAGAGCTCGAATTTGCTGATGCAATCCACGAGTACCAAAGCAAATAGATTAGAAAAGCCAATCAGAGGAAAGGAAAATACCACAAGGAGCCAATGAGGATCCATAGTTATACTAGCAAACTGTGCTTAGCGCTGGAAACTTCAAGAGACCAAGTCGCGATTTGTTTTAATTTCGATTTTGATTGGTTGGGAGAACGTTGAAGGTTTTCCAGATAAATTACTTAAAGAAGTAAAGCTGAACAAAAGAATTCCTGGATCTCTTTTGAGCCTCAATTGTTCTGATCTTTACCCTGAAAAAGAGTTTGGGGACATGCGTCTCTTCTCGATTTCTAGCTTGTATGCAAGTTTGCCTTGTGGTGCTAACATCTTTTTTTATCCAGTATGCTACAGGTAAACGATTTTCATGAACGGGAGAGAAAAATGAGTAGATTTTGTCTGAAGGAGGAGTCACAGTTTGAAGGCATCCACTGTGCCCCCCGTCTCAAGTTGTCTTGCAAAAGTGACTCAGAGCGAGAAAGCACAAGACGACACAGAGTGAATCTCTCGGTAAAGACTTTAAGGTAAGTCATTTTTACACGCAGCTTTGAAATCCTTTCAATATTGCTATAGCTTGCAGTACTTATCTTTTACTGCATATGGTGTTTGATATTTGGA